TGTGGGTGTGGGTGGGTGTGGATGTGGGTATGGGTGTATGGGTGTGGGTGTGGATGAACAACACTCCACGTCCACAGCCATCACTCTCGATAAATAGCAATAAATTTTTTCTATAATTATAAATATTTTTAAATTGATAATAGAGAGTATCATTTGCTCTTTTGTAATCATCAGGATTAAGTGCACCTGAAAAATAAATTCTATCTGTTTTATTTTTTGCCAACTTTGCACATTCAGTATCAGATAAAAACTCATCACGTAGACATTGTCGTTGTTCATCATTCTTCATTTCACATTGAGTTATAATAAAACATAAATTATCATCGATTTTTTCTTCACTGAAATGTTGAATAAAACGTGTAAATAATTTAATAGCATATCCATCGATTCCTGTTATAAGAGATGTACAAAAACAAACTAAATGAAATTCGCTAATTTCTAGTTTCATGCATTCTCTATTTATATCTGACAAATTGCTATTTTCATTAATCATACAATCAGGTATTTCAACAATGTTTAATGAAACTAGACTTGGTTCTGCAAATATATTCCATATATATTGAATATCTCTAGCTGATATTGATGATAATGTTAATTCTTTCGGAATATATCGAGGATCTGCAATAATATGTCCTAATGTAGTTTTTCCACTTTTTGAAAGAACCACTAACAAAATATTTCGATAGATGCGCTTCTTATTTTGAGTATGATTGTTCATATCCTCTTCTAGATAATAATTATATTCTTCATTAATATCGTTTATAATCTGTTTACGTTTGACTTCAGTATCAATGGTTGATCTTACAATTTTAGACATCTACAATAAAAACAAAAACGACTGATATCCCAAAAAAAAATGAGTTTATATATAATTAGTCTTTATTTATTTTATATTTATTGTCTCCTTCTCTACATAACAATGTAAGTTTTCATAACTATCCATGTAATATTTTCTTTGAGGAAGTGCATTTTTCTCTTTCGTAACTGATTGACGATAGCGCTGTACGATTTTTTGAGTCGGTTTTTGATCATTAACTAGTATAATTATTAACTGATTGATAATAGGTTGTTGCTCTCGGATCTGAGTAATACATGACGATCGATTGAATAACATATCACAAATTGAATATAGTTTTATTTCACTTGTAAATTATTTTATCAATTCTTCATGATATTCAGATATCGTATCGAATTGTTCTAAGAGACTCTGATTATCATGATTATAATCGTCTCGATTGAGTCAACCAGAAAAATAAATTTTCTAATTTGAAGAATGATGCAATATTTTTTAAAAATTTATCGTTCACCAATTCTTTTCGGAGAACATTTAATTGTTCTTTAGTTTTTGATTCCCAATGTCTGATAATTGTTTACCAAGAAATTCTACCGAAAAATTCCGCTGATTTAATATATTCTTGATAGATATCGTTTGTAAGAGACATATAAAAATAAATTAAATAAAATTTTGTAAAATCCATATTGATAGACATGCTAATTGTTTTCAATATTGTTTTATTATCTCGGATACTCATTTCATTTTCCGAGTTATTTTCGAATAAATCTAGTGTATCGATAATTTTAAATACAATGCTGTTTTTTCAATCAATGAAACGATTCAAACAGAAGATTCCTTGTGCTCGATTTAAGCATTATTTCATCAGATATTTTCGTTCGATCGACTAATAATGCTTTTAGAGTTGATTTCTCTGTTCATGTTCGTCCGATAAGCATTATATTCTTGTGTTTAGTTTTAATTACTCTATATTCACCATGGAGATCGTAATCTTGTTTGATGTAATTCATAAGATTGTCACATCTTGATTCGCCATCAACAACAGCTTGTCGTTCATGTAGTGATAATGTCTTCAAGTAAAAAAAGAATGAAGTAAAATTAATAGAAGTATGATGAATAGTGAGTTAATAACATCGTGTTTCAAAATAAAATGTCCTATTTGTAATTTATTGCAGTTAGTTATCATTATGAATATTGATATTCTAACTCTTTTGTTTTTCGAGCAATAATCTTGAGGACGGAACGTTGTTTTATGCTTGTACAAGCATTATCAAAACAAAAATCGACATTTGAGAACGATAAAAATTTTCTTTAATTAGTGATAAAAAAGGGCATAGTCGAAAATAATTAATTATTCCTCGCTCTGTAAACGTTATAAAATAAGAATACATCAGCGATACATTATTAACTACTTTTATGTTAATTTCATCAGATCTTGCAATTTTTATGGACAAAAACATTCGAAAATTTAGAAATCGTTTTGCTTTCTTTAAAAAAAATTAGACAATTATGCTTAATCAATGCTTTGTATTTAAATAACATTTTTTTAAATAAAACTTAATAGTCTTTCATATTGATTTATTATCTACTAATATCAATGGAAACATGATGTTTTTAAAAATCAAATTAATCTGATTGTTAATCTTTAACTGTCAAGTAAAATAAGACGATATTTCATATGTATAGTAGGGATGAGAACAAACTAATCATTCTCAATTAGTCAGATTCATTCTTGCATTCTACGGTTCATATAAATTCTGTTGTTAGAATAAATTTATATTTCATATTTATATTCTATCGACATCAAACGATGCGACTGAATCAATTTTATTACAACACCATATAAAATATCTCGCACAATTTAATTTATATCGATAAGAACAAAAATCTAACAGTTATGAAATGATTAAACATGATTATATAAATGATAGCGATGAAAATGAATTATGTTATGAAAAATTATTCAAAGATGGTAACTATAAAAAAAAAGAGAAACAAAGTGATATTTTTCTGTTGTAGAAAGATACTTTTTCTAATACTATCTTTATGAAGATGCTTAAATCGATTGAAAATAATTATTAATATCCAAAATGGCAAAGCAAATATATATTCAATAATATATAGTCTAATGCATTTTAACTGAATATCATCTAGTGAAGTTAAAATAAAACTAGTAAATAATAAATCTACCTTAAATACTATTAAATTCTATTTAAAAATATTATTTAGCTTTTTTTCAAGAGTACACAGAGTTCTGACTAGAAATTAAAAAGAATCTCAATTTGATTCAATTCATGAGTAGAAGTATGCCTATGTATATCAATGTTGGGATGGACTATGAATATGGTTGCAGTTCTATATCTAAGTATCGATGCGAAAAGGAAAATAGGTAAAGACAATTGTCTCATTTACAAATAAAGAGAATATGTTTTCGATAATAAAAATAAAGTGTTCAATTCAATTCATTCGAGACTAAATAATTTTTATTCAGAAAATAAATTTTTGTGAATTGAGGAACCATCCGTCAAGGATTTTTATTTGTTTAAATTCAATGCAGAAAAAAATGAATTTTAGAAATATATTATTGATATTTAATGTTGATCATTTCATGCCCTCATATTGTGTCGACATAATTGGACAAACAATATTATGTATAATGGTAATTTTCATCTTTCTAAATTCTAAAAATATGAACTCAATGTCAATAGTATTAGAAGAGTTCTATAAAACTATATTATTCTGTTCTCTATTTTATGTTCGGTATATCAAATAATAAATCGATAAAAAAGATACATAATACATGAGATTATAATCAGATTCAAAAGATTTCTAAAATTTTAAATCTTTTCAGCATTACACTAGAGAATGTTGAAATTTGAAGTTCGACGTTGTGCATTCTTATCTTACCACTATAAAAGATCATGTATCCACTTTTTTATTGTTGTTCGGTTAGTATTCTCATAACTGTTCATTAGTTGCTATGAATATCTTTCTTTTTTCAAATACTGCAAAGAACTACTCAAAATTTGGCTGTCTTTAGCTATATAAGTATATGCTCGTTGTATTCTTGAAAATAAAATTTACAGGTTTTCGCCATACACATATTTGATGTAGCATGTTTCAAATATTTATAATTGATGAAACATATTCATATTTACCTTAGATGTTGTGATACTAATCATCAAACCCGTTGATTTTGATATCGAAATAAAGTTTTGATTGTTATGATAATATTAGCTTCTTTTATTGATAATTTAGTAAGAAGTTGATAGTTTTAGCGATGTTTCTTATTTTTGTTTTGAAGAAAGAACCAAGAGAAATGAAAAGAGGAGAACGAAAATAATTGGATTTAAACTGCAAGACTGACTCGTTAACATAAAATATTTGCGTATTTTGCAGTAGCCTACACGAGTAAAAACCTTGAGAAGAAAAATAGCTATGTATTGATAAAATATAAGAGAAGAGATTCAAAACATCACATGATATTTCGTTCTTACTTAGATGACTCATCATACATGTTTAGAATTGGGTGTGGGGAGGGGAGAGGGGAGGGAAGCCGGTTTTGGTATGAGCACGAATATATCTTGTTTTATTTCACACAGTATCCCCACCCATACTCACGCCCACATACAGCAACGATAACATGCATCCATATCTAAATATGCGAGGAATCGATTGAAGAAAGACTAGTCTAGATGGAAATGATATTATTCGGTATGTGGTATAATAGTGACCATCGTGACGTACGTAGTTAAACTCATTAGACTCGAAGAATTTCGCTTTGTTTTCCAATATTTTGACTTTCTATATCATAGATAATATGGAATTTCACAGTACAGACATCAAAAACTCATGTTAAATTCTAAATCTCATTTGAAGGAAAGTCTCCACAATACCTATATATTTTTACTAGAGCAAAAGGCCAAAAATAGGATATCATTGAGCACAGAAAGTGATCTCACACATCATCTTAATCGCAGAGTTTTAATAAAATTATACTCTTACGACCAGAAAGTCATATGCTTCAAAATCTTTCGTACGACAGCATATATAGTAAGCCTATCGTTACGATGTAATTTATTTTTCTTCCAGATAAATTTCGACATGATTAAAGCATTGAATGAAATTTTCAACCTATGCATCGCATATAAATACTCAGAAGTTATTATTCATCTTAAAAACAAAACGTCAAAAAAAAATACATTTCAATATTTGAACACTCCATTGCAGAATTGTGTCAAGACATATTTTGGGTACATATTCAACTTTGCTTTAGTTGTTTATTTCTTGTAATCAGTTCTGAAACATCATTCATTAATTTGCGTCCAATTTTATTCAAAGAAATATCTAGTGATGTGAGTATCTGTATTAAAAAAAGAATTTCGGTTTATTAGAGGGATCAAAACAGGCAATGAAGGTCACTGTATTATTTGCTAATCCCTGATTCAGGTATTGCGCTCCGGTGTCTCCAGTTTTATTGTGGTAGAAATGTAATGTGCTTAACGTCTGTGTTAAAAAATGCATAGTATTATACCCCTGGCAAAAATAAGTTTCCCTCTGTATTTTGAGGATATTGTTCCCAAAAGAACATATTTTTTAAAAAGTAACGACATATTCGGGAAGCCCGTGAAATTTTACATCTTTCTGTAT